AACCCACCTCTCTGAAAACAACCCCAGCTGTTTATTATGAACTGTGGTTGTCATGGTGATGAGTGGAGAGAATGTTGACATGGAGGATAGGGTCGAGCCTGTAGAAGCTTTGGGGAGAAGTTGCCTCTATGAGTGGATCTGAGACCCTGTATTGCCTGTTGTCACCACATGCCGTGGCTCCGTGCCAGGTGTCCCATGGACAGGTGTAGGCAGCCAGCTTATGCCCACCTGGCCAAGCTGTAACCCCATGGGGGCTGCATCCCCCAGAGGGGCACCTCTTCCATTTGCCAAAGGCACCCAGTATAAGACAAGACAAGCAGCAGTCTTTTCTTCACAATGGATTTGGCACTGGGACGAGAGACTGTCGCCCTACATCTGTGGCAGAAAACTTAGATTCCACCCCAAGCTGTAACATTTGTAGATGTGGTGTTATCTTAGTCCGTTTGGGCTGCTATCACAAAAACACCATAGACTGGGTGGCTTATAAACAACAGACATTTATTTCTCGCAGTTGTGGAAGCAGGAAGTCCAAGATCAAGGCGGCAGCAGATCTGGTGTCTGGTGAGGGGCCACTTCCTGGTTCATAGCCAGCGCCTTCCCACTGTGTCTGCACATGGTGGAAGAGGCGAGGGAGCTCTCTGGAGTCTCTCTTATAAGGACAGTGATCCTACTCATGAGGGTGGCATCCTTATGAGCTCGTCTAATCCTAATTATATCCCAAAGGCCCCATCTCCTTGGGGGTTAGGTTTCAATATATGAAATTGGTGGGGGCACAGACATTCAGTCTACAATAGGTGTAGTTGACCCATTTTCAGTTGTCAGTGGTTGGTTTGTTTCTTTAGGGTTTTTGGAGATGACTAGTGTCCATTCAGCTCCTAGTAAGGTAGTGCGGGCCTTCAGGAAATGAAGTCGGTGAACTCAGCCTAGGGAAAGTCACCAGGTTAGAGACCTTACGAACAAGAGGGAAAACACAGATATGCTCTAAGTGGACCTTGAAATAGCCACGCATGAAAGACGACAGAAGGTTTTCTGGGAGGATGTCGCAAATTTGAGTTTCACGTAAAGTGGATGGGAATAGCATTTCCAGTGAGAGTTCCCATTATCCCCTTTGGGAGATTTTGCCTGGCATACCTTGGCCACAGTGGGTGGTATAGAGCCAGTAGGGCAGAGGGAAGACCTAAACTAGGAGTTTGGGAAACAAGCCTGACTCCAGTAGGACCCTGGTGACAGTGGTCCCCAAGCCAGGGTCAGCCCTACAAGAAGGGACACTGTCAGCTTGGCTTGCTCAGCATAGGGTCCACTCATCACAGCCCTCTCATCTAGGGAAGGATGGGTTCAGGTCCCAGAAGGAGGGCAGAGGAGCATGCCAGTTGTCCCAGGCAGGCCTGAGCCCCAGAGCCCCCCAACTTGGGGACATACTAGGGCAGCAGAGGGAGGCCAGCATCCATGTGATGGTCTGATTGTTCACAGGGCTTGGGATAGAGACAGTGTTTTGGGCTTCCAGCCAAGGATGCAGGGACCTACCAGACATCTGACCCTCCTGGCCCCAGTTGCACCTCTGCATCCCCTCTATTCCAGGAAAGCCTCATTTCTTCCTGTAGCTTGAGTTCTGATTTCTCTCAGGATATGGCAACACCTTCCTTTTCCCCTTTGTGTGCAATCTTCCCCATGCTTAAAGCCCAGTCCCACTTTTTCCACCTCCCATCTGAACCATCCCTGTCCTCCTCACCTCCCAATGCCTCTGAAATGCGGTGGTGTTTTTAGTCACAGAGGAGATGCTCAGCTAGGAATCTTTGGTCTGCTTGGTGTCATCAGTGCCAGGATGGTGGGCCCATGTCTCTTGAGCTTTCTGTAACCCTCCCAGAGAGATTGAATGACATCAAAGAACACAGCAGTGACAATCTAGATAGAGAAGACTGGCAACAGCCTCTTACTGTGCCACCTGGACCTGTGGGAACTAGCCATTAGTGCCAACACCTGGAGCCTCAGTCGTCTCAGCTGTAAACAAGGAGAGGGAATAATGTCAGTTATAAATAACTTTATAAATAAAGTGAAAATAAATTTATAAATAAACACAAGTATAGTGTATATTTATAATATAAATATAAACTTATTTCCTTATAACTTATTAATGTCATTGTTATCATCATCCTCGTCCTTATATTGTTACTACTTGATACTTTATTTCTAGAAAGTTCTGAAACTTCACATGATGGCTTACATCTCCTTTGGGATTTGGACAGTGATTTTAGTGCTGTGGATCTGGCCTTTATCTTCTGGATGGTACAAGGCACTAAATAGAGATACCTAAACTTTAAATTTTGTTAATTGAAGTAAAATAAATTTTGGTTTGATGTCCTCTTTAAGAGAATACCTGTGACTTGTCCTTGGGGCATTTTGTTTTTTCTAGTAGTAGATTGACCAATTTGCATTAACTAAAGAATTTAGATCCTAGAGTTTAGAATTTGCATTAAACTAATAATTTATATTTTTTAGAAATATGGTGTCAACTCTTGGACACTGTTGTTGGGAATGTAAAATGGTACAGTTGCCATGGAAAAAAGTATGGTGGTTCATCAAAAATTAAAAATAAAACTATAGTGTAATCCTGCAATTCCACGTAAGGGTATATACCCAAAGAATTGAAAACAGGAACTTTAAGAGATATTTGTACCCATGTTCAGAGCAGTGTTATTCACAGTAGCCCAAAGGAGGAAGCAACCCAAGTGTCCATTGACAGATGAATGGATAAATCAAATGTAATATATACAAACAGTGAAATATTATTCAGCCTCAAAAAGTCAGGAAATTATGACACATGTTACAACATAGATGAACCTTGAGGACATTATGCTGAGTGAAATAAGCCAGTCACAAAAAGACAAATCCTGTAAGATTCCACTTATATGAGGTACCTAGAGTAGTTAAATTGATAGAGATGACCAGTAACTGGAGTGAGACAGTAATGGGAAATTAATGTTTAATGCATACATATTTTCAGTTGTGCAAGATGAAAAGAATTCTGGAGATGGATGGTGGTGATAGTTGTACAATGTTAATGTACTTCATGACTCTGAACTACACAGTTAAAAGTGGCAAATTTTATGTATGTTTTACCACAATTAAAAAATGATAATAAAATTAGAAAATTGGATTCAAAACATGAAGATGACACAAACAAGTGGAAAGATATATCATGCTCATAGAATGATAATTCATATTTTTAAAATGCCCATCCTACACAAGGCAGTCTACAGATTCAGCGCAATCCCTATCAAAATACCAATAACATTTTTCATAGAACTAGAACAGATAATCATAAAATTTGTAAGTAAACACAAAGACCCCAAATAGCCAAAGCAATCTTGAGGAAGAAGAACAAAGCTGAAGGTATCACAATCCCAGGTTTCAAGATACACTACAGAGCAGTAGTAATCAAAACAGTATGGTACTGGCACAAAAATAGACATAGTGATCAATGAAACACAATAGAGTCCAGAAATAAATCCATGCTTACATGGTCAAATAATCTACGACGTGGAAGCCAAGAATATATGATTGAAAGAAAATCTCTTCAGTAATGGTGCTGGGAAAACTGGACCACTTTCTTATACCACACACAAAAATAAACTCAAAATGAATTAAAGACCTGAATGTGAGGTCTGAAACCAAAAAAATCCTAGAAGAGAACACAGGCAGTAATTTCTCTCTGACATTGGCCATAGCAACATTTTTTCTAGCTATGTCTCCTGAGGCAAGGGCAACAAAAGCAAAAATAAATGATTGGGACTATACCAAACTAAAAAGCTTTTGCACAGCAAAGGAAGACACCAACAAAGCAAAGAGACAACTTACGTAATGGGAGAAGATATTTGCAAATGATATATCCAATAAGAAGTTAATATCCAAAATATATTAAAAACTTATGCAACTCAACACCAAAAAAAAAAAGATTAAAAAATGGGCAGAAGACATGAACAGACATTTTTCCAAAGATGACATACAGATGGCCAACAGACAAATGAAAAGATGTTCAACATCACTTATCATCAAGGAAATGCAAATCAAAAGCACAATGAGATATCACCTTATACCTGCCAGAATGGCTAGAATCAAAAAAACAAGAAATAAGCATTGGTGAGGATGTGGAGAAAAAGGAATTCTTGTGCACTCTTGGTGGGAATATAAATTGGTGCAACCACTGTGGAAAACAATATGGAAATTAAAAATAGAACTCAAAAAATTAAAAATAGAACTACCATACAATTCAGTAATTCCATTGCTGGGTCTTTACCCAAAGAAAACAAAAACACTAATTTGAAAAGATATGTACATCCGATGTTTTTTACAGCATTATTTACAATAGCCAAGACATGGAAGTAACCCAAGTATCCATCAAGAGATAAATGGATAAAGAAGGTGTGGTATGTGTATGCAATGAAATATTGCTCAACCATAAAATGAATGAGATCTTGCCATTTACAACAACATGGGTGGACTTAGAGAGTATTATTCTAAGTGAAATAAGCCAGACAGACAAATACTGTATGGCCTCACTTATATGTGGAATCTAAAAGAACAAATGAGCAAACAAAAAACAGAAATAGGCTTAGAAATACAGGGAACAAACTGGTGGTTTTGAGAGTAATGAGGAGGGGGAAATGGGCAAAATAAGAAGATTAAAGGGTACAAACATCCAGTTATAAAATAAGTCACAGAGATGAAAAGTACAGCGTAGGAATATAGTCAATAATATTGTAATAAAGGTGACAGATGGTAAAAAAAAAAAAAGAGAAAATATGATTCAAAAACATTTTATAAATATAAAAGAATACATGTTAATTGCAGAAGAGTTTAAATTTTGTCCATATGTGCACACACACATACATGTACACACACATGCCTACCTACGCATTTCCCAAAATTGTATCATACTGTATCTTGGTTTATTTCTCTAATGTGTAAAAGCACCATCTCATCTTTCGCTTCCCGGTTTCCAGGTTTGCAATGGCTTGGAGCAGCCAAGGAAGCAGCAGCGTTCTGATCTCAATGGACCCGTGGACAATAACAACATCCCAGAGGTGATTTTTTTTTTTTTTTAATTTTTTTTTTTCAACGTTTATTTATTTTTGGGACAGAGAGAGACAGAGCATGAACAGGGGAGGGGCAGAGAGAGAGAGGGAGACACAGAATCGGAAACAGGCTCCAGGCTCTGAGCCATCAGCCCAGAGCCCGACGCGGGGCTCGAACTCACGGACCGCGAGATCGTGACCTGGCTGAAGTCGGACGCTTAACCGACTGAGCCACCCAGGCGCCCCTAGAGGTGATTTTCTCTAAGGATAAGAGTTGTGGCTTAGGATTCTGATGTTGGACCTGCATACCCCATCATGGTCTTCTCGGCCTCTCCATGATGTTCTCATGCCACCCAGTGCCTGGGAAGGTGGGGGGTTCAAGTCAAACAAAGTTGGGTGTCTCTGTAGGAGGAGGAAGGAAAGGTTCTTTCCTGTTCAGGCTCATACCACTGTGTGTTCATGTGTTGCTAATGGTATATTTGTTGGCGGGGGGCGGGGGGTCATTTGTGCTCCCTGGTTTGACAGAAACTCATTATACTCCACTATCAGACAGTTATGTTCTAAGCCAGCGTTACTCAACTGTGGCACCATTGACATTTGGACCAGAACATTCTTTGTTGTGAAGGGCTGTCCTTTTCACTGTAGGATGGTTAGAAGTATCTCTGGCTTCTACCCACTATATGCCAGTAGCTCACAACCCCCTCCCCAAGCTGTGACAACCAAAAATGTCTACAGACATTGCCAAATGTCCCCTTGGGGACAAAAATCATCCCAGTTGAGAGCCACTGTTCTAAACCAACAACATGATTTTGAAAAACAATCCTGTACACACAAACACTGCCTTGATGGAGGTTATTAAAATGAGGCCTTAATAAATAATTTATTTCCCTTTTCTGTAGAACATAGTTTGGATGGGATTTTCCAGCTTTGGTGAAATAACTCTGGCCACCCCATAGAGTGGTGTCCAATCTCCTTTATCTTACTTTTAAAGACAAGCTCTGGTAATTCTCATGCCTACCAGTTGGAGAACCATTGGTTGTATGGTCTCTAGTCTCTCTTTTAGCAGTGGCAGGCTAATCTGGGGGTCCCTAAGTTTTAGATGATGGCCTTTGTACCCCATGTTTTCTCATGGGAATTGATTCCATATGTCCTGCCTAAACACCATGGTGCCTAAATGACATTGGTTTGCTTTATGGAGCTGACTTTTAAGGAACATCAGTTACTCAGTGGGGTTTAACTTTTCACATATGGTACTCAGCCTAGATCTTATGGGCCATCTATTTAAAACTGTCATGTGTTTGTTTTTCTTTTCTTTTTTTTTTTTTTTTCATATTTCCTAACAGACAAAGAAGGTGGCATCATTTCCAAGTTTTGTGGCTGGTAAGTGACTTTGAATTTAATGTTTGGAAACAGTTGCATTTTTTTTCTCCAAGCAAATGGTATTTTTACTTTTGTTTTCTCCTGCAAAGCTTGTTTAAAAAAGCACACCTTCAAGATGAAAACAATATTATAATAAGAAAAGGTGCTTAGGCATTTTGTTGTTTGAGCACTTTGTAAGCCCATATTGTTATAGAGGGAGGGGGATTCAGTTGATTAGGGAACGGTAGACCATCCCATTTAATTACACCCTCAGTAATGGCCTCACACATGACACTGATGATTGAATTAATAGATTGAAATGTGTCTGTATAAGCAGCTAATTATGATCTAACACTTTTGATTACAGTGGATATAATTGCATCCAAATTCAGGCTGTTACTCCTTTTTTAGACTCTTCATTTCCCTCCGCTCTCCTGTCTTTTTTTTGAGGGGGTTAATACTGCATTTCAGCATTCAATCAAAAAACCAGAACCAATCTGTTCTGTACCACTTGTTGGTGTGGGGAGAATGCCTGCTTGCCTTTTGGCATAACCAACTTTGCATTGTCTGAAGGGCTTCAGGGAACCTTGGGTCCTCCCTTTCAAAGGCCCTCCAACACCACTATAAGGAGTCTTTTATTTTTTTATTTTTATTTTATTTTTATTTATTTATTTTTTAATTTTTTTTAACGTTTATTTATTTTTGAGACAGAGAGAGACACAGCATGAACGAGGGAGGGGCAGAGAGAGAGGGAGACACAGAATCGGAAGCAGGCTCCAGGCTCTGAGCCATCAGCCCAGAGCCCGACGCAGGGCTCGAACTCGCGGACCGCGAGATCGTGACCTGGGCTGAAGTCGGACGCTTAACTGACTGAGCCACCCAGGCGCCCCTATTTTTATTTTTAAAAAATTTTTTTAATGTTTATTTTGAAGGAGAGAGAGATAGTATGAGCGGGGGAGGAGCAGAGAGAGAGAGAGAGAGAGAGAGAGAGAGAGAGAGAGAATCGGAAGGAGGCTCCAGGCTCTGAGCTGTCAGCACAGAGGCCGACGTGGGGCTTGAACTCACAGACCGCAAGATCATGACTTGAGCCAAAGTCAGACATTCAACCGACTGAGCCACCTAGGCACCCCTTTAAGGAGCCTTTTAAATAGGATCTTTCTTCAGCCAGGAGGGTGTTTCCTGCTCTTGCTAATGTTACAATAAACAGTGTGAATTTTATTAATTCTTTCAATAAGCTGGTAATTAATTTTTATGAAAATTTAAAAGTGCAAGGTAAATCAGTCTTCAGAGATAAGTAACTTTAAAACCTTTCCTACCCTGGTTTTCTTTTTTAGTAAAGAAGTGACACCTGGGAAACTGAGGCCCCTCCAGTTCCCTTTCAAGGGACTAATTTGAACCAGGCTAACACAATTCAAACTGGTTGAAAATGAATTTATTGGCTCAAACCAATTTCAACTGGTTCAACATTGTATTGGCTCAGTGTGGCTCAAACTGGATATTAAAAACAGTTTTGAACTGTTGGAATCAATGTTATACTGTTCAAATAGACTTGGTTCCATTTCGACCAATTGAGGTAGGCTCAAATGGGTTTTGCCCAGCTGTTTACATGTGGTTCTAGGTAAGTTTTAGCAAGTTAAAACTAGATCAAACTGGTTTTCTTCAGGGCACAATAGGTTATGATAATTCTGGTCCAGCTGGCTAGTTGTGGTTTTTTCAGGACCCGATGACTGGCACAAAGAGACAACACCCATTCCATGCCCCCACTGTAGGGTTGATTGGGTTCCTGATTCAGAGGACTCGACATCTCATAAATAGGGAAAGATGTACACTTTCCTCGGTGGTCAGAATGCTGCAACGGGGTGTACCAGTCAAAGTGTTTCAGTGAGGTGGACTCTTGTGGGTCCAAGAAGCTCACTTTTCAAAGTATCATGGTGTCATCTGGGCAGAGCTCCCTCAAACTGCTTAGGGGAATGATTCGGATGTTAGATTCCCCTGGCTCTTGAGTCAGCACCCTAGGTACAGAGGAGGCAGATGGAGAAGGATCAGGAAGCAGTATCAATGCCCAGGTGCTCTGAGAAGTACCTCTCACTTCTAGCATTCCAGAAAACTCACTTCTCTGTACCAGCTTATATATAAAATCAAAACAATGTTGGATGCCCCAAACCAATTCAGTTTGGCTAAAGCTGCTTGTGACCAGCTCAAACCAGTGTGGATAGCCTTAATGTAGAATTTCCTATTAGCTATGCCCATGCAATGGTTGTCAGAGATATTGGCCCGTGAGAATATGAGGGTCTGAATTCAACTGGGATGGCTCCACACATCTTCCTTGATGGATGTTTCACACCCTTGGGCTCCTTCCTAGCTCCTATACAGCTGTGTGTACACTCACAGAAGAATGCCACTGGCAAACTGTGGCTCCTGCCTTATTCTTTTTGAGGAAGAAGCCCCATGTCTACTTGTACTTAGGAGACCTTGTGAATCTGTATGTTTAGTTGAACCTTAAAAGACCTTGAAGACCTACTCAACAGACTCCTTCTTGTCTCTCATTGGCCAGAGCTGTACCATATGACCAGTGCCCTGGTCAACTTCAGTGTTGACTGGAGGATCAAGTATTTGGCTTTCCAGGAGGGCAGGGGAGAAGGTCTAGAAATGAGTATTGGGGTAACAAGCCCCCAGTGCCTACCCCAGTGCTACACCCAATCCAGCTGACAAGCATTTCAAGTGTGGGGGAACCTCCAGGGCTTGTTCAGTCTTCTGGTTGAAAGTCTGATTAGCTGAGAGGACCCAGTATAACTATGACAGGAAAACAGACCTCCCACCTCCTCTGGGTCTGAGAAATCACACTGGAAGAAAAGCTCCTTGGAGTTTTTATGAGGGATGGCCTTCAGTCCTACCTTATTTCACACCTAATAATTGTTAATAGTAATGAAAAATAATAACAGTTACTATACAATGACAACAGACACCATCTTAACATCGACTGGGGGCTTAGTGTGCACCAGTGCCAGGGATGTGTGCTGTGCACCTGCTTCAGGTCAGCCACCACAGGAAGGGCAGATGCTTCCCCTCATTCTATAGGGTAGGAAAAATGAGGTTCAAGTAACTCATTTGAGGTCATTTGGTTGCTGATACAAGACCCATATCTGGGTACTTAGCAGCATAAATTCCTCACCAGGCTGGTTTTCTGCCTTCTTGACATGCCTTCATATACCACTACCATCAATAATGAGGCCGGGGAATTCTTTTTTTAATGTTTATTTATTTATTTTGAGACAGAGAGCAAGTGGGAAAGGGGCAGAGAGAGAGGGAGAGAGGGAATCTCAAGCAGGCTCCATACTGTCAAAGCAGAGCCAACATGGGACTTGATATCATGGACCACGAATCATGACCTGAGCTGCTATCAAGAGTTGGATGCTTAACCAGCTGAGCTACCCAGGTGCTCTTGAGGCCAGGGAATTCTTATTGGGGGCTTACTCTGAGCCAGGCACAGTTCTTCAATATACTGACTCAGCAGTCCTCCTGATATCACTAAGAGGTAGGTGCTGTCCCTGATGAGTAAACTGAGGCTCAGAGGGGGTAAGTCATTCACTCAAGATCACCAGGTAGTATGTGGCAGAGTGGGATTGGAACCCAGGTGGGAGTCTGAGCTCATTGTCCCCAAACTGTACTGCTTGAGCAACCTTAGCATGCAGCAGGTGAGGAAAAAGAATAGAAAAAGAATGGAGAAGACATGTGGTTCAGACTCCAGGGAGTCCACAGGAGAACCTTCCAGAGGTCAGAGCCATTGGCCCCTCTCAGGCTCAGAGTCACAGCCCTCTCTCATCAGAGGCACCTGAGTGAAGAGGCCCCCATGACCACCGTCTGCAGGAAAATACCCCAGGATCTGTTGATCCTCTTGGCTCCTCTCAGACCAGAAAGGTTGATGCTGCAGGGTGAATCTTGTGCAAGGGCCCATTGGATGGAGGACCCACTGCCTTCCCTGTGGGAGGAATCCTGGAGTGGCAAGGAATGGCGGGACCCCCAGGATAACCCCTTCTGAGGGACATGGAGGCTGGCAGTGGCATAAGTCCAAGTGGACTAGGTGGTTGCCCACCTCCAAATGAGTATACATAAAAGGCTTTTCCATAAAACCAAAAAGTTGGTGCTGACCCCAAAGCAATGGAGTCTGACAGTGGCAGCTTCAGGATAAAACAACAGAGGCTGATAGATTGTATTCTGTTCCTTACACTGTTCTCCTAATCCAACAGCCAAAGCTTATGCAAGATGTCCTAAGACACACCCCACCCCACCCCACCAACAGCTCTAGGCTTATGCTAGAACGTTGCTTGTCCTCAGGTGCCAGGGCCCTGGGGTCCCTTACAACCTGTCTCTACCGTGTCAACTTCCCCCTTGTGCACTGGCCACTCATAGAACATGGGGGCCCCTGGCCCTGCTGAGCTTGCCCCTCACACCTTTTAGGGGTCCTCACCATGATAACGCCCCTTGGTTATTTTCATGTAGTAGGAACTTATGATCTGACCTTTTAAAATGAGCACTTGCGGTGAACCTGTTCAGATTAAGACTCCTAAAATGAAGACAGCTCACATCTCTTCTTCTCCAGCCTGTCAGAGGGGCCAGGCTCCTGAATCACAGAGCGGACAGGCCTGGGGGACTGGTGGGCATGTGTCTGGGATGCTGTTGGTGGGAGGATGGGAGTAAGGTAAACCTGGGCTGTAGGGGCCCAGAGCATTCCAAAGGGAAGTTGTGAAAGCCAAAATAACTTTCCTTTTTGGGGGGCATTTGGGTGGCTTGGTCAGTTGAGTGTCTGACTCTTGATGTCAGCTCAGGTCACGATCTCACAGTCCATGAGATGGACAGTGAGGAGCCTTCTTAGAATTCTCTTTCTCCCTTTCTCTTTACCTCTCTCTCTCTCTCTCTCTCTCTCTCAAAATAAATAAAGTTAAAAAAAATGACTTTCCTTTTTTACAAACATTATTTGATCTTGTCTCCAGTTTTCCAAATGGAGTCGTGAATAGGGATTA